GATATAGATATAGATATAGATATATCACCAATAAAATCTGATTGGAAAAAAAATCAGCAAAGGAGATTAAAAAATAATACCCAGCGAGGAGGGGCGCAAGAGAGTGTTATACTCAGCCAAGTAATGTGTTGAAATCACTGTCACATCTTGGAATTTAACATTCCAATGATTAGTTTTAAATTATACAAACTAACCAAAAAAAGAACTTTCCAGGAACCAACGTTCTCTTGCAATGAATGACAGCCTGCACAGTCTTATTTCACACTTAATAAAGTAGACAGCTCCGCGGACTAGCGCCTGCTTAGGCACGCGCAGGGACTGGGGCTGCACCCCCAGCACCACACGCCTCGCCGGCCCAGCCGGCTGAGAACAGGGTCACTAGCAGTCGGAACTGCGTGGTGAGACCACGTACAAAAAAAAGTAATACGGTCTTTCACTTCTGAAGCCATTTCCTCTCTATTCGTTTGCTCTTGGGCTGAATGCAAGCCAAACGCGAGGACTGGGCCCAAGGAAGCGTATGTAAGTAAACTCATTCTTTGTGTCTCTGGCCTTAAGTCACTCCGGCTGAGAGGGGCCCTCCAGTCACTTGCAAACAAAGCTGGTCAGGCTGGCAGTACTGATAACGCAGACATCACGCCACCCCGTGGGTGACCAGCAGTCAAGGGGCGCGGCTCCGGACGAAGCCACCGACATCCAGAAGCTGGACACCAACCCCTGGCTTACCTTCTCCTTGCCTCCTCCAGTGTGCAGGGCGAGAAGCACAAGCTTACCACACAGCTCGGTGGGGACAGTCCCGGCCCACCTAGCCGAACTCTGTCTCCAGCGCTTGCAGGCCCCGGTCCAGACCCCCGAGCCTCCCGGCCCAGACCCCTGCCCTCACCTCGCGGAACCCGACGCACTACAACCCCCAGCGGGCACCGCGCGTCCCCAACGTGCCGGCGCCCGCTCGGCCGTCGCGGGGCCCCCTGGGGCCTGTAGTCTCCTGACCCCGGCGCCGGCCAGTACCTGGAAGCGGTAGAGAAAGGCTTCGGGCCACAGGAATAAGTAAGCCGGGCTGATGAGGCCGAGTTTGCCGACCAAGGGGACTGCAATGCTGGCGGCGAACCAGTAGCGCGTGATGGCCGGGATGCTCCTGAACCAGTCCCCGATGTCCGACATCTTGGCCGCTCAGGTCGCCAGGATGCGCACAGCCACGCGTGTGCCCGTCTCGACCCCTCACAATGCAGCTGGCTTCGCGGATGGACGGTACCGGGCGGAGGCCGGAGGAACCGCGGCGCAGGAGGCGGTGACCGGCAGACGTGGCTCCACCGAATTCGGAGGGGCGAAACAGCGTCCCGAAGCGAAACTTCCCCTTCCGGCGGCCGCGGTCCGCGTGACCGGAAGTCCCGCTGCTTAAAGGGAACGCGCCGATTTTAGAACGAGGCTCAACGTCCCGGGGCGGGATAAGACGGCGGGGAGGGGCGGGGCGACCACATGATTGGTGGAAAACAGGAGTTGCCAGGAGCAACGGTGAAAACTCCAACCAATAGCTTCACTGAACACCTTACAACTATTTCTTGCTGGAATCCTTTTTTTGTTTTCTTTTGTTTTTTGTGGTACCGGGAATAGAACTGGACACCTTACTATTGCCAGCAGGAGCTTATGCCACTAAGCTATCTCCCCGACCCTGGATCGTAATCCTTGAGGGCCTCTTGGAAGCTCTTTGAAGCGACAGGAGGAGGATGAGACAGTTGGCTCAGTTATTTGACTGGTGCCTGGATCTTTCATTATCTGGGCAGAATTTTTTTTTTTTTTCTTTTTAATGAACAGTGGAATAAGGTAGTTTCAGAGAGAGGTGAAAAAAAAGGCACAGGAGGACGTGGAGGAATGGCGGGAGAGATGCCAACCTTACAGGACACCCGGTCCCAGGAGGTGGCCTTTGAGCAGAGCCAGCTGGGCAAAGACCCACGGAAGAGAGTTCCACGTACCCGAAACAAGTGTCTTTACAGGCTTGGAGTGGTTCAGGGACCAAAAGCAAAGCCTGAGGTTGACTTTTAATCTAGTTCGTGAGGCAGGACTTGCGTTGGCTGCAAGTGAGAATCCATCCTGCGTTCTTTTCCTTTTTTTTTTTTTTTTTTTTTTTTTTTTTTTTTCTTTTTTTTTTTTTTTTTTTTTTTTTTTCTTCTTCCTCTTCTTTTATGTATTTAGTACAGGATCTACAGGGTCTCACTACGTAGATAGTAGCGATTCTCCTGTTTTCAGCCTCCCAAACCGGGGATCGAACCCCTGCGGCTGCACTCTGCCTAAGCAGCCGCTTTAGTCCTCTGAGCTATCTGGCTGGCCCCATCCTGTTTTCAAAAAACAATTTGTAAAATGATACTGAGTAGTTTCCGGTTGCTTTAGAGTTAAGAGCTACCATTTAGGATTGACAAAGCCTTAAAATAAAGACCACCAAAACGCCTGCGGTCAACAGAGTCTAGTTTATGAACGTGCTGCAGGGAAGGAGACTGTGGTTCTGAGGACCTGGCTCACCAAGCAGAAGGATCATCACTGGGTTAGGGAGAAGGAGGGAGGTTCGAAAAAATTATATGAAGCAGTGTTTAGAGCAACTGAAAGCAAAGCAGGGCCATATGCAGTTACCAGGTTGGCATCAGGCGCGGGCCTGGCTGAGGAGCACACGCAGGCCCTCATTTTTTTCAAAAGCTCAAAGTCAAGATAAATGTGAACTTTGAGGTCAGAAATTCATTATCTAAATTTTTTGATCTGGATTGAAAAATGGAGTGTCAAAGTGACCTGAGCGGCTCAGATCCTTCAGGCAAGAATGGATATTCCGCTCTTCCTGTGAGCAGCCTTAAGGTGACCTGTGAAAATAGTTCGCTCGCCAAAAAAAAAAAAAAAAAAAAATCTGGGGCCAGGGAGATGGCTCAGTGGAATAAACGCTTCCCTGGCAAGCGCAAGGGCCTGAGTTCAATCCCCAGTTCTAAAAAAAAAGAAAAAATGGTTCGCTGCTCTCTCGATCCAGAAAACCCCACAAAATCATGCAAATCAAGAGGCTCAAATCTTTGCGTTCACTTTAAGAACACACGTGAAACTGCCCAGGCCATCAAGGGTCTGCATATCCGAAAGGCCACCAAGTATCTGAAGGATGTCACAGTAAAGAAGCAATGTGTGCCATTCCGGCGGCATTACAATGGTGGAGTTGGTAGGTGTGCCCAGACCAAACAGTGGGGCTGGACACAGGGTCGGTGGCCCAAAAAGAGTGCTGAATTTTTGCTGCACATGCTTAAAAATGCAGAGAGTCATGCTGAGCTTAAGGATTTAGATGTAGATTCTCTGGTTACTGAACATACCGGGGTGAACAAAGCACCCAAGATGCACCGCTGTACTTAGGGAGCTCATGGCCGGATTAGTCCATACATGAGCTCCCCCTGCCACATTGAGATGATCCTTACTGCAAAGGAACAAATTGTTCCTAAATTAGAGGAGGAAGTTGCACAGAAGAAAAAGATATCCCAGGGACCAGGGAGATGGCTCAGTGGAATAAGCGCTTCCCTGGCAAGCGCAAGGGCCTGAGTTCAATCCCTGGT